ACAATGAACTTAAGTAGGAGTTAAAGGTAACAGAAACCTATCACACATGTGGACCCACCTGGGATCCACTTCATTGCTAATTGACCAAACTGGGGACCTGCAATAGCATCCTTCTGTATATCTTGGTCCACTAAGCATTCTATGAGAACCAGGATACAAAAACATGTCTTGTATGGTACATGCAGCATACTAGAACATTCACAGCCCTCTCTACCTGTACATCAGATCTAGAAATTGCGGTGGACCTAACTCCTTCTCACCACACCCCATATGAAGCACCTCAGATCACTGGAGACCAAAGAAATATTTAAAGCTTGTATAATCATCATCTTGTATAAATTTTGAGGAGAAAATGGTGTTGTCAATGGCCTTGCAGGCTCTACTTGACAAACAGTTCAGTCATTGGTTGAATCTTCATTATGCACAAGACAACACATGCACAGCTTTGAATTTTTATACTCACACTTCAAATTCTGGTTTAAATTTATATTTCTTTCAAAAAAGCTTATATGTTCTGAATGATGTTCCATCTGGTAACTGTTATAGCACCTGAAAAACAACTCAGAAGGAGTTGGAAAATGTTTGTCTTGGGATAGTATTTGGTTTTCTTCACACCAGTTATTGGTTCTGTGTGTGTTTATTAATAAAACTATTCTAACAAAATATAGAACAGAATTTAATTAAATAAATTCAAATTTCTTCTAATTCAATGTCACGACTTGGTGCATTTATCGACACTTGGCAAATAATTTCATCATCCACTTTTAATTCATACAGATATGCATTTCGGGCTTTTGCCCCTCTTCAGTCTGTTACATCGATAGGTTGTACCTATCGATGTAACAGATGCTAATTATTTGCCAAGTGTCGATAAATGCACCAAGTTGTGACATTGAATTAGAAGAAACAAGAAGACATGGTTTCGACAAATAAATTTCAAATTTATATAGGATGTCAAAAAAGTTTCTGTTCAATGAAAAATATTTAAGTTTTATGTACAATGTTGCAGTTTCTCCTAGAGCAATGCTGAAAATGTCTCTCAGAGGCCTCGAAATCTGGTGAGTGAGGTCTGGAGACCTAGAGGGCCAGATTCCGTGGGAGTTTATGTGATCAATGATGACATCTTTCAAAAACACTAGTCCAAAAACTAGAACTTCTGTGAGCAAGTAGTAATACCATCTACTGCAAAATGAAAACATGGAACAAATGACTTACGGGTTTCATATGCAATTGCAATGCTGTATGTACAACTGTAATGTCATTACAGATTTCTCACTACACAGCAACTTTTTGCACATCCAGTATATAGTGTAGTATTGTCAATTCAAAAGTAAGTGTTCAATAAAATACAGTACGTTTCATGAATCTTAGCCATTCTATAAAATTTGGTTTTCTATGCAAGAGCACCACCAGTCTTACCCCTTAACTAAACTTTATAATTGGCATCCAAGTGAGAGCCATGGAATCTCTTGTGAAGACAGACTAATGTTAAGATCCATTTCAGCTTTTTCAGTTGGAAGTGTGAAGTAGTTTCCCTAAGGTAAACAAAAACCCCCCAAAATAAACATAACTAAACACAAATGATCGGAAGCAAAATAACGTTGGATTCCTTCACACAGTGCTATTATAATATGCAATAGAGAGAACAAATTCATGTTAACACACAGATTGAAGGTTATAGAAATTTAATAGAATATGATGTACATCTTGGGTCATATATAAACTGTCTAGAGTCCTATTTGGATAATATAAATTTGTGATATGACATGTAATAGGTGAATGTAATAACATTAAAAAATTGTCAAAAGAATCACAGATCATTAGATTGAACGTTTTATCCTCAGGTCGAGAAACTTGTTTTGTATTCCAACTTGGCAACTGAAAACATTGGAAAGCAGCCAACAGAATTCAAACTAAAGGATATTTTGTTATAATAATGTAATTATTATAACAATAACTCAATAAGAAAATATATATTATCGAAGTAATGTTAAATATTTAAACCTTATTAGAATATCTTCAAAGTCATAAATTCTTTTCAAAAATAGATTAAACATTACATATAGCTTATGTTTTTCAGAAGAATTTACATCCCTAAAGTAGGGTGACCACCCATTCCCAATTTCTGGGGATAGTCCTCATTTTTGACCTTCTGTGCCTGGTAATGAAACGTCTCTGGTTTTTACCCCGGAATGGAGTCTTGTTCCCGCCTGTCCTTGTTTTTTTTGTTTCCTTGTGGTTACTGTAATATTGTTGATGCCACAGTTTTTCAACCAGAGGACTTGTCCAATGTCTTCATCATTTCCAGGTAATTGTTTTAAATGAAGTAACCAATTTTTGAGAAAATGCCAAAAAGGAGCAAAACTTTAAAATGAGAATGAACAATTATTTATTGTGACATCTTCACAAAGCCAGTTTGCAATTTTTCATTCTCAGTATTCTCAATACTTTTAGTAGTGTCTTGCCCCTGTACATTGTACTTTTCCTGTTAGCAATAGAGTCATGCAGGTCATCTGTCTAACTCCTTTTCAGAGAAAAATTTTTAATTGAAATAACATAACTTCTGGTCTAAAGCAAAAGTTCATATATAGGTCATCAGGTCCTCCTGCCACTACATTTTCCATATCTGATCTGAACTTTCATCTATATAACTCTGTTTTTGTGACTAAGGATGGACAGACAGGCAAACAACAGTGAGAATTTATAGGTCTAACAATTTTTTCCCCAATTCCACTCCAACAAAAAATATAACTAAAATGCACCAAAAGTAAATAGCTATAAATCTTATTAGAGGAGAGCTATTTGATTGAAGCAAATGTGCTCAATCAAAATTAAAATGTTTAGGTCTTAGTCATATGTATGGAGAGTACCCATTTAATAGTACTTATACGTGTAGGCTGCTACCGTGTATTCTAAAAAGTGACGAATGACACGTGTCCCTGGATTTGCCAAAAAGAAACTGATCATCCTGCCTATAAAGATGAGTCAGAAAAACCCGAAAATATTTAGATTTCAAATGTTTAAATATGTTTTTTATTGAGTTATTGTTATGATTTCTGCTTAAAGAAATGATAGAATTGAATTTTAATGTGTGTACTTAAAATATATTTTCACACTTCACATATCAGTTGTGTACTTTAGCTGTAATACCTTCAAGATTTCTGTAGATCTACTTGATCATCTTGGCAATCTTCTCACATCTTTCTTTTAGTTAATTTACAACAACAGGCAATTTATAATACTCATCTCTCTGCTTGCTAAAAAGTCAGCTAGTTTACAGGTTACTTCATAAATCTTGGCTGAGAGCAGCATGTTATTTAAATAAAATTCTGGAACAATTACAGAGTACATCAATGACCCGAGACAAGCTTCAGGTCCCATTAAATTACGTAACCTGTACCTTACTCATACTAACACAGACCTCATCCCGTTAAATTATAAGCGGCATCCATGAAGTCTATGTTAAATTTTAAAAATTTATTATTAAAACAGCGTGAAACTTACAGTTCTTTCATCAAAAAGTAAGCAAATGCAAACAGTTTTAGTCAGCATATCAGTACACCTCCACACAAACACCATTTGTCAAGATAAATTATAAAGATACATTTTGTATTTGTATTATGATAATCAATAAACTTATTACAATCTGAAAGGATCGAAATTAGCTCCATACAAATTATTAAAACTTTCAATACGAACTGAAAAAAACGATAATTCTTTACAAAATATATTTGACAGGATTCATTAGTAGAAAATTGCAAGTATGTATCCGTATTTACCGACTGCAAGAAAAACTCTAAAACGTTCTTCATTATTTGAACGAATTAATTAAAGGAAAATAATTTATAAAAAAGATTGCAAATTAAAAAGAAAATACCGAATAGAATTGTTAAATATGTCTATCAAAGTGCAAAGTCAATGAACTGAAATAAATTTGTAAACAAGCACTTGATTTTGAGAAATATTTTAGAATCGCTCAGAATAGAATAAATTAAAAAATTCAAGCATTTTATAGCATATTTGAATGATTTTTACAGTTTAAAATAATTAATATGTAATAGTAAAGCCAACAACCACTGCCGTACACCATCGGGCTACTAAATGGCTACATTAATAATAAATTACCAAACAATTATTAAATTTATTACGAGACGGCACCTAACGCCTCCCTCTAGGATCAAATTGTTTGGTAATTTACTATTAATATAGCCGTTATATAGGCCAGTGGAATTTGGCACTAGATGGCTTTATAATAATAATGTATGTTTATAGAGTTGTTTGTTTAATTAATACTTAAGGAATTATGAAAGTATGTCACGATATCAGAGGATGCATAGAGGATTGCCTCCACTTTTAATCTAAGAAACCTTAATGATTCACCCCACTAATAACACCCAAACGACCGAAAAAGAACGGCATCCAGCCTATTAATTGAGAAAATCATTTCTAAGTCTCTGAAGTTTTGTGCAGACAACCGAATCCAGGAACATCAGACGGGCGATAGCGAGACGGATAAAACCAAGAAAAGCCACGTAGCGCATAACATGCAGACGTATCGCATCGAGTAATCGATCAATCAAAACCGTTTCAAATCACTTCCTAAAAACACATATTAATAAACAAATAATAATTCAAATTTAGAATATTTACTTTTAAACATTAAAAATATCGAATTACTATTTAATTAAATACATTTATCAAGATTTAATCAGCATTAGTTAATTTAATATGTAGAAGTTACTTTTAGTTAATTAGCTCACATGTAAATATATAAGAATTTGACTGAAAGTAACTTCTACCAAATACTATAAATTCCATCTTTGGTTAATTTAACTACGTTGTGCTTAATTCGCTAATTATTTAATTATTTAAGCATTAAACGACGATTTATATCGAAAAAATGGAGTAATAAACTGTTATATATTTGATTTTATACAATATTTACTAAAAATTTAATGAAATGAATCGACACGAAAGAAAATAAATCTCCACCCACTCACCGTCAGCCATTTTGCGAAACTTATTAATTAATATAACCGATAGATGGCAGCAGTTCTAAGCGAATTTTATTATTTTGATTTTTATTATTTGTTTCTTCGTTTACGTAATTTTTTTTTTTTTTAAGTTTAAATTATAAATTTAAATTCAAACTATTTTATAATTTAAATTAATTTTTAAATAAATTATTTAAACTAATATTATACTTCTGTGGTTTATTTATAAAGATTGCATTTTACTGTATTTTTGGAGTTTTGATGTCGATGCCGCTTTTTTTGCATGCCTTTGTTAGATTGGATTTTTTTCAAGATTTGTTTTCATGACATGTGTGGATGCTTTACTAATTTGCTAATAATTCGTAATTGTTTTGGCTGCTAATCTTTTTCGATGAACAAGTATTGGAGCAAGAGTGTCACCAGTCTCGGAGCAAAATTCATATGTACCGGCTCATTAAGTTTATTATAAAACAAGAGGACTTTCAAACCATTGGCCTTAGTTTATCTGGATCTAGCTACATTTGTTATTGCCGAAGACTATAATTTTCATACCAACACTGGAATAAAGAAAATAAGAAAGAAATATGGATTGTAGGATTCGTAGAATAATGCAACTGAAAAGCGATCTACCAAGAGGGGATGCCTCCTGAAGACTTTTATGGGAAATATGTGCCTTATATAGGTAACACACAAGTGAAGAAAACAGCCCATTTGCGTGTTATTTATTTATTTATTTATGGTTTTAGGCTCTTTACCGCTCAGAGAGCACAAAAAGGCAGGGTGTTGCGAACCCACTACTACTATCTGCTTGACCCTTGGTGGCCTGTTCTTAACTGAATAGTATAATTGAAATGATATTTTTAATGATGATATCATTTATAAAGCGTACATAAACAGTTATAATTCTTAATTATATTTAATTTGTAACAGAAACTGCATAAATGGATAATTAATTGTGTTTATCCCATTCTATAATCGAATCAATAATGTAGAATCCAATATAGAATTTTATTGATTAGTGAAGGAACCGAAAATCAAACCAATCAATTTATTGCCATAGAATTTAGTTTGAATATATTTATACTAACAGATGAACCTGGCGTTGCTCTGGCAAGAAGTAACGAAAGCGAAACTTAAGAATATTAGATTATAGCCGATCTTACCCGTTTTTACCGGGTGCAAGAAATAGGTTCACTCTCTTCCGAGACTAATTAGAGAATTTTTGTTTGTTTGTTTAGTTGTGGGTGATCTGCCTAGGGGGATGCTTTCCGGGAGGTCTTTTTAAGGGAAACTGGCCCCTATTTAGGCGTTACCGACGTGGAGAAAACCCGGAAAACTTCACGTGGCCAGCCCATCCGAGCGAGGCGAGAACCCAGGATTGAACTCCCAGTGTTCAGGGAACAAAGACCACATGGCCACTGGTTGGCCTAGAGAATTTTTAGATTGGTATAAAACATGTTCGATTTTCCGCAAAAAAAAAAAAAAACGTATTTAATTAAAATAGTACACTAAAATCTGAATTCAGGGTAATCCTTAACTCTCTCCCTCTCCTCCGCGGGGGAAATTTCGGGAATGTCCCTTCTTTGTGTATATTCTCATCACGTACCCTAACCGTGTACTAAGTTTCAACTTTCGACTCCTAACCGTTGGGCTCTGCGCTTATTATTATTATTATTATCAACCCATCTCGATTATAAGATTAAAATTTTATTACCGTTTACTCGATATTTACTTACGTAAGTAAAGTCATCATTGATTCTTCTTCCTTTATGTAAAACTTTTCGTTAAAGTGTACAATTTCTAACTTGTACTATAAGTTATGAGTTATTATTAATTAAGTATAATTCAGAAGTGCATAAATAATTTATTTGACACAGATTATAAATAAGAAATTTTAATAAACGATAAAAAAATAATTACCTTACTCGATTAAATTGACTATTATATTATAAAATGCGTTTTTTATATTATCATTATCTTTCACGTTATACTATGTTAAAAACCTATTCCATATTTTCAATATTTATGTTTGAATTAATTAAAATGTGGAAAAATCAAAACCATTTTAGTATTCATTTAACGATAAGTTGGCAATGTTGTTGCTAGACTCTCACAATAATTGCTACCATTATCTTTATAACTATTTAGATTGGTTCGGGAGATATTAAGGGGTTCATATCTCCAGAACTAACGGTCCTATTTTCTTGAAAATTCCTAGAAGGATTTCACCCTAATACACAAACCTCATTGCAAAATTTCAGAAATTTTCGACAGAAGGAATAGGAGTTATTAAACTTTAAATTGAATGAAAAAAAGCGCACCACGTACACACTAATATCCGTACATATGGAAAAGAATCCCAGCATTTTTTGAATTTCTCGACATTTCGGTTCAAACACTTGAAAATCTCGAGGAGGGGTCATTTTTTGATCGATCGCCAAACTTTCCTAACCCAATACTCGTATAACAGCCGCAAAACTAAGAACGTATTATAAATATAATACGTTTGTACTGTACATAATAACCTTAACGTTGTGTAACTCTTCGCAAGGCATTTTACAATCAAATAAAAATCTTTTAATCATAAAATTCACTACACGTAAATGTCGAAGGTTTTATAAATTTACTTTACATAAATAAATATAAAATTANTACGTTGTTGTTAATTGTAATTCGTCAAGAAACATTTTATTATATATTGATCTTAAAAGTCTGCGCATTTAAATTGATCGAAAGTTTGAACGGAATTCTTTCCTGTAAATAAAAATATATTAGACATTATGTCGGAATCAATATATCGAATAGTATTATGTTAATTGTAATTCGTCAAGAAACATTTTATTATATATTGATCTTAAAAGTTTGCGCATTTAAATTGATCGAAAGTTTGAACGGAATTCTTTCCTGTAAATAAGAATATATTAGACATATAAGTCGAAATCAATATGTCGAATATTATTTTGCTAAATATCGTTTAGAATGGAACACACACACAGGTATACACACATACATAAATGTCCACAGAATTTTGTATTTTGTTACATATTTTGAATTTAGAAAGTCACAAAACGCGGAGATTTGCGACGAACTCAAATGAACAAAATTTACACGATTCCAATAATTCCTTTAATTACGTATACAAAAAATCCAAGAAAGTGAAATGCACAATATCTATAATTTCTACAGATGAAGTAATTCTACTTAATGTAATTTAATAATTTTAATTAATTTATCCGTTAATAATGATTATAGTAATGAGCTTCTTCAATAATGAATTTTTATTTGTTTCAATTTAACAATATAGAACAAAACGTGTATAAGAGAATTCGCGTTTATCTCGTTGTGCATCCGTGTCAATAAAGTAAATGGGAATACAATTTATCTGCCTATCAATCGAGAAAACTGTCAAAAATTCATATATATATTATTAGATGGAAATACACAAGAATTTGTTTTATTTAGATTCACTCAAGTAAATTGGAATATCATTCATTATTCTCCCTTTATATTAATGTCGTGCACTGAATTACATTAAGTGTAAAGTTCGTATATAAATTTTATATAATAACAAAATTTATTCGATTTTCTATTTGTACGGAAATTATATCAAAATTAAAACTTTTCACAATGTTACAAGTAATTCTATTATTGAACTAGATCTAATTTATTTATTACAGTAAAATAAATGTAATTTTCTAGAAACGAATCGAAACGAAAACTTGACTATTCCTTTTTTACAACAAACAAATTTTGTGTAAATTGCATGTTTATTAAAGTAGGATCACTTTTTTAAGGTAGCCGCGGGACTGAGAGAATCTTGATTAGAGATTCTGCAATGTATAATATTGCTCTTCTATTTGAAAAAAGCCGTGTTGAACTTTAGTTGATAGAAAACTAAACGGGTCTGACCCCACTTCTTAGCTTCTTGTGAACTCCAGCATAATGGCACTTTCGGGCTTCAAATTCCACACAAGTAGAAGATGGGATTACGTTAATTATAAGCACTGTTATGAAACGCGATATAAGTGAAATACTACTTTTTGAAAATGTAATTTTGTAAAATGATTACGATGTGAATGAAATTGTGGTTATATTTCATAAACATGTAGAAATACATACTCGTATTGATGAAATTGTGTGTTGAATCTCATCACGGGAATGAGTAAAATTTCCAATCAATCTTTGCATTTTCTGTAAATTCGGACGGTTAAATGCATTTTTTATTAATATGGACCTAATATGCAGAAATATTTAAAGAATTCGTTACTCTAACCGTAATTTATTAATAATTGCACACAGTGAAAAATATTAAATCATAAATTATTGTATTTTTTAAAAGTTGCATCATAAATGCGAATGAAAGTTGTAATATAAACAATTGATAAATATTACCGGTATTTGAAAACTCTTCCATAACCCTTTTTCTGCTGTTTTTGCAGAATTTTCTCCCACAATTTTTTATTTTGCTTGTATTATTATTATTATTTTACCAACAATGAAATTATCTAATGATAAAATTCGCAGTGGTGCTTATCAAATAACATGAAATGTTCGTTATTTTGAGTCGATATTAAAATTTGGAAAGGGGGGATACCTAGATCGGTAAAATACGCGAATTTCTTCCTACAACTTCGGTTTTTGTTCGGGGTACAGTTAAGGTTTTAACGAAGTTCGAGCGAATACGTAATTAGCAAAAAAAGTTGAAATAAAGTGATTAAACAAAAATTATTAAAAATATCGTAAGTAACAGTTCACAAATGCGTATATAGAGATATTTTTTGAAAGGGGGAAATGGTCTTCACAATTTGAAATCGATCGAACACACTGTGCTCGAATGCTCGTGTAAACGCGCGCCATCTATCGTAGGATAAATTCCAGAAACCTTCGCGGGAGTGTATTAAAAATCTTCCAAAAGCTTCGTGGCAATCATACTATGCCAGAAACATTCGCGGGAGTATATTAAACAACTTCTCGAAGTTTCAAGGCAATCGGATAAACGGTGTGGTAATGCATGAAGGACACACACACACACACACACACACACATACATTCATT